TAATTTTTGTTTCAGTTACTTGATTCCCTCCATCTTTATCTCATTAATTACATAACAAAATAGGATCATGCGTCACAGATGTGTGCACACTTAAAATATTCCCAGACAATTTGGTAATTAGATTGGAAATTAAAATGCACATATTCATGAACTACAATAAAAACTCTATAAAGTCGCAAAATATAAATTCAAATATATTAAAGTTGAAATATAAAATTAGATATCAAAAGTGAATTGCGTTGACCGGTGAATAGTGAAGTGTAACTATTATTCTAGGACAGATGTAGTAATAACATTTTGCTATCAAACTTATTCGACATAAATTTAGTTTCCGAACTCATTCTGAAATCGAAATTAGGTTGTTGATGATGTTCTTTCCTCAGCTCATTCATATGCTTTTAGGGAATACAATTAGACATAAACTCATTAGCAGTGGTTGCTTGTTATGATGTCGCAACTCATCCAGTGCCATCCTGCTGGGAGGGTAAGCATGACTGTCCTCAAAGCCAAGGAACGTGCAATAAGGCTTTTGTTGTGCATCCAAGTATCCAACGACTCTCTTCTTAGGTGCAAAGCATGCCATCTTCTTATAGACAATCATATTTATTTGTGTATCATCCACCCCCGTTCTTCTTAAATAAACTCTGCCAATAATGTGTATTCTGCGTCGTGAATGTGAAGGCATGAGATGCATTCTATTATTCTCTCTTTTATTTTGTATCTACTTCTATTACTAAGGTATACTTGTGAGTGTAATTGGCAAGAGTTATTTACCTTTGCATGTACAAAATCTCAAACAGGGGATTTCTTGTAACAAAAGAGGTTTGGTATGTACTATGTAAAAAATAACAGTAGAAGTGCATACCTTTTTTATTTCAAATTGCTCAACGATATCAAAATATTCATGATCCACCCATCCCTTCTCCACTTTTATCATTTTTAACAACTTATTCTATTTGTAAAGGATGATAAATCTAAAAAAAATTCTTTAAAGAGTTAATCTTATGATATGATTGTGTTCCATGCGTACTTGTGTCTCATTTTTATGATTTTGATTTTTATCAAACAAATTTTGATCCCATGCATTGAATTATGTAAAAAAAAAGTGAGACTCTAGATGCTGTGGTAGTTAATTGTGTGATTTTGCTGGAGAAGATTATCTAAGTTTTATCATATAGTTTTTTAATTTTTAATTAATTAATCAATAAAATATATTTTACATATAATGTGTTCATAATTCATAATTCATCAGATTTTTTCAATTCAGCTAGAATTTATGACATTCAATTGAGTCAGTCATTTTTGGTGTTGCCAAACAGATTTTTTATTCATCATCATCATCATCATCATCATCATCATTACCCTAGTGCCGCAAAGGCTCCCATTACGTGGGGTAAGGGGGGTCGGATGTACGCAACTTTACCCCTGTAGAAAAGCACATAGAGACTGTTTCCGAATGATCCAAAGTGAAAATCACATCGAAAATTGCATGGACTGACGGCTGTTTCATAACAAAGAAGAGCAGACAGTTTAGTGAGCCATTTTGCTTTATTTCATTATATTTCCAAGCAAAAAAATAGTGTGTCTTTGGCTCCATTGCAAATGATAGAATTGTTTTTTATTCTTATGGCTAGAAATACATTGAAGCCTATTTAGAAAAGTTTATGTACAATGATGAAGTTACAATGAAAAGGTGCAAATAGGCCCATGTACTAACCAAAAAAGGTCAAATAGACCCTTATTTAGGAGGTTCTGTCCGGCCGTTGCTATTTAGGGTGGTTCCCGGTGGAATTTTTTGATGAAATTTTTTGAGCATCTTATTCATTAAGTCTAGTTTACTCATACAAAATTTCAGTTAAAACTTCAATCGGGAAGGCATTCAAATGAATTCTTGAAAATAAGTGCACAGTTAGAAACACAGTTATCTTCAAGAATTCATTTGAATGCCTTCCCGGTTGAAGTTTTAGCTGAAATTCGATATGAGTAAACTAGACTTGATGAATAAGATGCTCAAAAAAATTCATCAAAAAATTCCACCGGGAACCACCCGAAATGACGACGCCAGACAGAGCCTCCTAAATAAGGGCTTATTTGACCTTTTTTGGTTAGTACAGGGGCCTATTTGCACCTTTTCCCTTTGTTTTATAGTGTATAGTATCTAAATTACTATCCTAATCCACCAATTAAAATATCAGGTAAAGGGTGAAATATGTCATTTTACTATTTAGAATTCATCACTTAAATCTCAATGTTAAAAAAATGTCAGATGAATACATTTTACTTTGAAAACACAATCATTCGAGGCGTTTTGACATTCTATAGCAAGTTATTTAAAAAAAATAATTAAAACATTTGATAATTTTTATAAAAATCTCTATATAAACAATTATAAAAATATCACTTCGTCTTTGTACATAAACTTTTCTAAATAGGCTTGACTATATCTCTTTTCATAAGTATATAAAGCTTGTTTGGTAACTTCAAAATGGACCGAATCGATGAAATTCAGGAAATTCTAACCGAATTGACAAAATTAGCAAGTTTTTAAAAAATAGAAACTGCTTAATATGGGATCGATATTACACGAAAGGGAAAAAATATGATTAAATATGTTTTGTCCCCTCAATAGGTCTTATTTAGTCATATTAAAAGAACAAGTTGATTAATATCTCCTAGGGATGGATTAATGGCAACGGGGCGGATCGGGGACGGCTTTACATATAACCGTACCCGCCCCGTTTGGTAATTCTCCCGCCCCATAACCGCCCCATTACCCAACAGATAATTTTTACCCAAATCATAACCGCCCCAACGGGTAACGGATATAACCACGGGTAACCGCGGGTAATCACTTAATAAATGAGTCATTGATATTTTAATAAAAAATAATATTTTAAAATGCGAAAAATGGCATCACCTAGACGACGCTAGACTCAGACGCCACTTTAAAGCTTCATATATCTATAAGACGAGAAAGAAGACAACTTAAATTAATTTAAAACTAAAAATACTTAATCTGAAAAATAATTAATCACAAAAAATCTTATAATAATCAAACAAAGCTATTAAGTCCTATTGAGAACTTTCATTCTTACACTATAGTTAGTAAATCTGTTATCTATATATACACAATGAACATTAAAAATCTCATCTTTTATTAGTTGTGGGACAAATAATAGATAAGAATGTAATAAAATATAACTAAAAATAAAGGGGGCGGGGGGCGGGTAATGGGGCGGGCATGCATAAAACCGTAACCGCCCCATTACCCGTAAAAACAAAACGGGTATTCCCCGCCCCGTACCCATTACCCGGTCAATGCGATTTTCCCCGTTTTGACCGGGGCGGTTCGGTGCGGATATCCATCGGATCGGTCACAATTGCCATCTCTAATATCTCCCCATAATAGGAGTGAATGAAACCTATTTCGAGAGTAAAATAATGAAAGTTTTATTTAAGAATTTTTTCATCGTTTTGATCCTATTAAAAAAAACTTTTTAAATAAATACTTACTCCGTATTTAAAAATTCAATACACTTTCCTTTTTGGACTGTATTTAAAAGTTCTCTACACTTTCATATTTGATAAGTTTACCCTTTATAAAATATTCAACTATCTTTACTTTATCTACTTTTTATTTTCTTTCATACTTTTACACTCTCTCTCATACGTTTTCTACATAATTCACTATTCCTCCTACTTTACTCCTTAAATAATGTGTCCAACCTAATGTAGTAAACATTAAAATACAGAGGGAGTATAATATTTATGCAAAATAGCAAATTAGTGAAGTCTGCCAGCTCAGTTGAAATTTGATCAATTTAAATAGATTCAATTCATTTAGAGCCCGTTTGGTAACACTAAAATTGGCTGTATTGGCTTATTCTGCTGAAATTTATGAAGTTCTCGCTGAAGTGGCTGTATTGGCTGATTATGCTAATTCATGAAAAAATTATATTTCAAATATTTGTTATTAATAAATAAAATAAAAAATTATTTGAAAAAATACCTGAAATGATCATCCACAGTAACTTCAGCCAATACTGTCAGAAAAGTAACTCCAACTAGGCATGGCAATGAGGCGGGGCGGGTATTGCAAGACCCGGACCCGCCCCGTGGCTTGGCGGGGCGGGTCCGCCCCGCCCCGTGACCTGCACGGGTCCAAACTTGTTGACCCATGACCCGCCCCATGCGGGGCAGGGCGGGTCCGCCCCGCCCCGCCACAACCTAATTAGCTAGTATGTATTTTTATTTGTGGGAAGTTGTTACCAATTGAATCTACATAATGTTTATCTCTAAATAATAATTAAAAATCAATATATTAAATCAAATTCATGATACGCTAAAAATTTCAAAAATTAAGGAAAAATTACTCAAACTTGAATAGTTAATCTAATTAGTTATATTAATAATTGAATATATGTATTAAAATTCTATATATAAAGAAGACATTGATAATCCGTCGTGCATCTCATTCTAATATATATTCATATATTATAAGATCAAAGAATTTATGATTTATTGTATACACACATATGTATGTTGAAGTATATTTGTAGTATAATTTAAGAAAAATTATGTATACTTATATATTGAGCGGGTCAGGGCGGCACGGGTCAATTCTAATACGCGGACGGCCGGACCCGCCCCATTGTATAGGCGGGGCGGGCCGGACCCGCCCCATTTGCAAGACGGGGCGGGGCGGACCCGCCCCAAATGTCTCGGGCCAGGGCGGGTCATTGCGGGTCGGATTTTTTTGACATATCTGACTTCAACCTTACTTTTTTTGCTTATTACACTATTCAGCGTGCGAAATCAAAAATTACGTGTATGATGAAAAAGCTGATAAGCCTGATAAGCCAAAAAAAGGGGTCACCAAACAAGCTCTTAATTGATTATAATGTTACTAAAAAAGTACAATTTTAAATCTGCCAAATTAAATGACTTAAACTTATTGGCCCATACGATAAAAAAAAAAACTTATTGGCCCAAACTATTTGATCCGGTCCGAATAGAAAATCACTTTCCCAAGCACTGGAATAACCTAACCCTAATACCGGTGTACCAATTATCCCATCCACCATCTCATGCTACCGCTCATCTCTCATAGACGGTGGTACGCTATATTGCTCTCTCCTTCTCCAGTTTGTCTGCACCAGCCGTTCGTCTAATATCCCTGGTTTGTCGATTATTACTATATGCCTTCTTATTTTATCGCATCTTGTTTTGTTTGTTTGTACATTTCTCCTTATATCTTATCAGCAGTGAATAGATCAAGCTTAGAGGGTGTTGTTGAGGTTCGTTCGTTTCTGTTCTTTCATTTAAACGCTGAATAATTTTCTAAATTAAGGAGTTGGAACTAGCTGTAATTTAATGACCAACCAATTCGCTGGCAGTGTTGCCTTCGTATTGAGGAGATCCAAAATTCTTAAGATTAACCGTGAGCACGCCCCTTGGCGACGTCAGGTTGACGTCATCATTGTCAGGCGGGAACGGTTATCTCAGGCGGTCCAGCTTTTATATACTATGTATATAGAGATTAAAACAATAAGATATGTGTTCAGCACTCGTGATAAGTTATGATGTGTAGGTTCTATTAATTCCAGGAAGAGCAACACTGCCCTTTTAATTCCAGGAATCTCACATTTGATTTAGTAGAGGTTCATAATTTTTGTAAGAATAAGCAGTGTTAGGAGTGGGTGCGGTCCAAAACAGTCGGGTAAATTATCGAAACCCGTGATGTACTTGTAATGTTTCTAACAGTTCAGTATGGTCTGGTTCTAGGGATGGAACCATTCGGTACTATGCCAAACACATGCTAAACATTTGGACAAATATTGCAATTAGTAGATATCATCACAACGTCCAATTCACATGAAATGTTGATAAAAATATAACAAAATGCATACTAAATACTAGGAAATAAATTAGTAGATATCATCACACCGTAGGTTCCTTAAAAATAAGAGTGAACAAGGCAATGTATATTGAGTAGAATTTGCCTTTTAGATAATGAATATGTTTTGCCATTTTGGCAGTCCATTGAAAAACTGTAAATGGAAATTGGCCTAAATTCCACCATATGGTGCCACCATAAACTACAATTTTTACAAATTATGCATTCTCTCTGTCATCCACCATTTGTCAACTTTGTTACATCCCTGTCCAAAAAAGTCATGTTTGTAATACTGAAGAGTGAAGATATTACAAAGAGATTTTTTTGGGGTGGCAAAGGTAGTTAGTGCACATTGCATTTTTGGTGATATTTGGTTGTGTTATTTCAGAAACATGAACCATTGTCTATATTTTTAAAGCAATTTCCTTTTGAAGCATGTTGGAAGCCTTATTTGTTATTCATCATCATCATCATCATTACCCTAGTGCCGCAAAGGCTCCCACCAACGGTGGGGTAGGGGTGTCAGATGTACGCAGCCTTGCCCTGTACTAAAGTACAAAAAGACTGCTTCCAAATAAATCACTGTGAAAATCGCATTGAAAATTACACGGACTGACTACTGCTTCTTATCAAAGAAGCCGAGATAGTTTATTGAGCTATTTTGCTTTATTCTATTATACTGCCAAGCCGAAAAATAGTAGTCTGGCTTCATTGCAAGTGATGGAAATGGAAGCCTTATTTGTTATTACGTAGTATAAAATATAAATTATCTACTTGTGGTTGACATGTTGAACCATTACTCTTTTTGTAGTTGAGAAGAAAATTGAATTTAGAATATAATGGGAAAGAGGAAGTCAAGGGCTAAGCCAGCTCCCAAGAAGAGGATGGACAAACTTGATACTGTTTTTGACTGTCCTTTCTGCTGTAATGTGAAGAGTGTGGAATGTCGCATGTAAGTGTATTTTTTCCTCTGGCGTTTCCTGACTTTCAAATAGACCTTAAAGTTTTCTATCCAGACAATGAAATTGGCAGAGTTGTCCAATACCTTTTTTGTGGTGATGCACTGATTTTTTTTCACGAGTTAGGTTTCATGTTTCCCGTTTCCCGTTTCTTGCATTCCCTTATCCAGGCAATGTGGTTTGAGTGTGTGTGTGTGGATGTATCAGTGATATGAAGTCCTTGATTGCTGAAGCACACTGCAGTGATTGCAAAGAAAGCTATAGCACAACCGCTACAGGTGAGCATTACCATACAAAAGAAGTATTGTATATTTTGTTAAAACTTAAAAGTACTTTGTTAGGTAGGTCTCAGGGAAGTTTTTGTCTTCTTGTAAAACTGATTTGAGATTGTTTTCTTGTTTCATGTAGCTTTAACTGAGGCTATAGACGTGTAAGTTTCTACACATGGCATTTGTGAGTTCGTGCATATACATGTATATATGTTTGTGTTTGTGTATGTGTGTATATGTATAACTGAAATATACGGGTGATCCAGATATAGCGAATGGATTGATGAATGTGAACGAGTTAACAACCTTGAAGATGATGATGATCTAAGAACCTACAAGAGGGGGGGTAGTAGGGAGGAGCAAGATATTGACGACCTTGATGATGATATAAGAGGATCTTACAAGAGGCCTAGGCAGGAACTGGGTGGCAATGAACTTGATGATGAAGACGATGATGATATAAGATCTTACAACAAGAGGCCTAGTAGGCTGGAACAAGATGATGACCTTGAAGAAGAAGGAGAATATGAAGATGATGATGAGGATTTAAGATCTCACAAGATGCCCTCTAGACGAGTTCATGACCTTGATGATGAGGAGGTGGAAGAGGAAGAAGAGGAGGACGAGTTGTAAGGAAGCCCTACAAAGAAGACAGGCTGACTGCCTTGGAATATTGGAACCTTAAATGCGTCCTTTCATTTTTATGATCTATTGAATAAGCGCATGCCTGACTTTCCTGTGAAGCCGTTGATAGTGGCCTGTTGAAATGCAGCTATTCTAGTGTGACATAGTTTAATACTACGGTATATGACAAGTACTATCTGTGCTGTTTGTGATGCGATAAAGTTAACTCTATTCTGATAATAAATTCATTAATATCTTTAGTTAAAACAAACGTCTGAAAGTACACGCGAAATGTACTTCATTATATATGTTTGTCAAATAGGCTCTTGTACTAGATCAAAATAGTCAATCAAGCCCTCAAACAAAAAAAGCACCTAATTAAGCCTACCAAATTTACAAAAACAGTCAATTTTATAATTTAACAAGTTATGCTCCGGTTATCTGGTAACTCAGCTGAGTTGGAATCCACGCGATTATTTTTACTTTTTAAGTTTTTTTTTTCCTTTTTCATTTTGTTTTCTTTTTATTCTTCAGCCGTTCTGCCTCGCCGCCTCGCCGGGAGGTAGAGATGGCAATTGTGACCGATCCGATGGATACTCGCACCGAACCACTCCGGTCAAAATGGGGAAAACCGCATTGACCGGGTAATGGGTACGGGGCGGGGAATACCCGTTTTGTTTTTATGGGTAACGGGGCGGTTACGGTTTTATGCATGCCTGCCCCATTAACCGCCCCGTACCCGCCCCGTTCATTTTTAGTTATATTTTTATTACTTTTTTATCTATTATTTGTCCCACAACTAATAAAAGATGAGATTTTTAATGTTCATTGTGTATATATGGATAATAGATGTACTAACTATAAAGTAAGAATGAAAGTTCTCAATAGAACTTAATAGCCTTGTTTGATTATTCTATGATTTTTCGTGATTAATTATTTTTCAGATCAAGTATTTTTAGGTTCAAATTAATTTTGGTTGTCTTCTTTCTCGTCGTATAGATATATGAAGCTTTAAAGTGGCGTTTGAGTCTAGCGTCGTCTAGGTGGAGTACGTACATGGTACATCCGGCTGTACGGTGAGCACCGTACAGCCGGCCCAATAACAAGTTCAAGGGAAAAATAGCAAAATAATTCGGTGACATTTTTGTAATTAAGCGAAAATCGTGATTTCTGCTAAATGAGCATTGGTGTGCTGTTCATGAGCAACAGTCCAGTTTTAATGAGTATTCAGCGTCTAATAATGAGCACCGGGATATTACAAGAAATCTGATATCACAACTAAAAACGGTGGCATATTCGTAATTTCAGTAAAAATCTCGGTTTTCGTTAGATGAGCATTAACACATTTTTAATGAGCATCAGACGTATTCTACTGAGCATTAAGAGTCGAATTTCAGTGAAAATCGCAGTTTTTGATAGACATTTCTTTTTTTAGCTGACGGAAAGGAACATACATAAATTACAAAATGAGCATTAATATGAAAATCATAAGTTTTTTGGTTGAACATCAAGATATTTTTATTGAGCATCAAACATCTTCTATTGAGTATTAGAAATATGTAATTGAATAACATGGTTTGTGCTTCTTGTATCAAATTTACTAATGATCATCACACCTATTTTGTTGAGTATTAATGCACTTCTAATGAGCATCAGACCTATTTTGTTGAGTATTAAAAGTCTAATATTGAGAATCGTAGTCTCCGTTTCATATTTTCTAATTTACTTTCATTTTCTTATTTTTTCCTTTTAAAAAACTCATTAAATTATATATAATCAAATCTATGAACATCAATATGTGAATCTAATATAATATGATACTTTTGAAATATGCATTGATATGACATTTTAAAAATGAGCATAATATTAGTACCAAATAAGTATATGTAACTTATAAAATGAGCATCGATATAAAAATCGTAAACTTTCTTAGTTGAGTATAAAAACATTTTTATTGAGGATCAAACGTCTTCTATTGAGTATTAGAAAAATGCAATGGAGTATTATGAATCATGATCTCTGATCTCGCGCCTATAATACACTCTTATTCGAATGTAATGTAATACTACGGTATGACATTTCATAATATGCATTAATATGTCATTTTATATTTAGCATAAAATTAGCACCAGATGAGTATACGCAATTTGCAAAGTGAGCATATAAATTTCAAAAACTCATTTGAATTCTCTAACGTTCTCAAAAATCCATTGTGTGTGATCATTTCTTTTTATCATTATATTCATTCGAGTATAATATAAAGTTCTTTCTTAATATGTACATCTAATAGATTTATTAATAACAATTTAATAAAATATCAATATATATAAAAATGAGAAATATAACAATTTTATATTACAAATAATTTATAGTCTTTTGTTCTTGAATTACAAAAATAATCGAGTTCTTTGTATAATATTTACTCATGCATTAAAAAACTTATGTTAAAAGGTTGATTGGAAAAGAAAAAGAACTCAAATATTAAATAATATTTAATGTAATTCATTTTCATAATTATTGAATAAGAATTAAAGTAAAACAATGTTAAGGAAACAAAGAAATTAAAAGAATGAATGAAACAACAAGTAAAAACAACGAAAAGAAGAAAAGAAAAAAGACAAACAGAAAAGAAAGCAGAAGAACAGAAAAGAAAGCAGAAAAAGTAACGTAAAAAGAATAGGAAACGGACAAAAGTAAAAAGGTTCGGAGTGAGAGTAAAACGAACGGAGGAAGTAAAACGAACGAAAGAAAGATCGAGCTTAACCCAAACTAATTACTAAAATGCTGGCTGTACCATACCTATGGTACAGCCGGCTGTACCATATATTTTGTTGTCTAGGTGATGTCATTTTTCGCCTTTTAAAATATTATTTTTTATGAAATTATCAATGACTCATTTAATAAAGTAATTACCTGCGGTTACCCGCGGTTATAACCGTTACCCGTTGGGGCGGTTATGGTTTGGGTAAAAATTACCCGTTGGGTAATGGGGCGGTTATGGGGCGGGAGAATTACCAAACGGGGCGGGTACGGTTATATGTAAAACCGTCCCCGATCCGCCCGTTGCCATCCCTACCGGGAGGCATTGTTCTGAGAGGATGTTCATGGGCCAGAGAGGAAGGTGTGGTGGAGATCGACGATGTTGAGGACTTGAGGTGCGCGCAGAGATGCAGCGGGGGGAGGGAGAGGTAAAGGAGGGTGAACTTAACGACAAAACCAAACTCCGGCGGGATGGAACCGGAGAGGTAATTGGATGAGAGGTCCAACTCTGAACTGTCCAAGGCCATTTTTACAAATGGCGACATGGAGATTGGAGGTGAGTCCGCCACAGCCCACAGGGGTGGGCAAAGAGGCTTGTTTCCACTTTCCAGTCTTGGAGCATGTGGAGTGGGTGAGGGTGGGCTGTACGACCGTGCACACCTGGAAGAGTACCCATCCATCTGTATATCTTGAAGCTATGGCAAGGAAAAGAGGCAGCTAAGGTAAAGAAATAAAAATAAAAGAGAAAAACTAAAGGGAAGATGCTGTTTTGCTGTACGAAGCATTGCAACATCCTACTGTGCGGCATCTTCCTCTGCGAACACAGGCCAGGAAGGAAAACGGCCAAACAGGGAACGGAAAGAGGAGCTAAGCTGAAGAAAGATAATTAAAAAGAAAAGAAAAAAAGCAAAAATAAATACGATAGTATGTGGACTTTGACCTATTAAATTATATAATTGACTGTTTTTATAAAGCTTGAAGGTCTAAATGGTTTTTTTTAGTTGGAGAGCTTGATGATTATTTTGATATACTATGTGACAGCTTTCCCTAATACAGAGTATAAAGTTATGATATAAAACTAAAGAGTAAAAAAGAGTTATATTTTAAAGTTATGACGGTAGCTGTTTGAGAATTCCCCAAATAGGAGTAAAAGATAGGCGAAATGCAAAAATAGGAGTACCATGTTTTGAATAGGAGTAACTTTAGTGTTTACACAAGTATATCCCTACCCAAGTTCCAACAACTTTCATTAATAATTAAAACATAAAAGGAATAACATTAATTTATAATAAAATTGTAAAAAAAAAATGAAAAAACACAAAAATATATCAAATAAAACATACTTCATATTAAATAAAATTAATAAAAATAAAAATTATTCAAATAAAAAATATTAAATAAAAAACTAAAAAAATTAAAATTAAAAAAAAAAAACTAAAAAAAATATGTACGCGTCTGCCGCCGCCTCAACAACCTCCCAGCACCACCAGCTCCGACCACCGAAAAAAATGCCAACATTTTTCCTAAATGTCATCATGATGGCAGATTTTGAGAAAGTTTAGCATTTTCAAAGAGCAAAACTGTCATCTTTATGGCATTTTCAAAGAAAAATGGAAGTTTTAACATAAGATGACATTTTTTTCCGCCGATCAGAGGTGACATTGCTGGGTGATGGCCGAGGTTGCGGCAAAGGCCTGCATAATTTTTTTTATATTTTTTAATGTGGTTTATCTATTTTTTTATTTATTTTCAAATTTTTTTATTTTTATTTTTTTTAATTTTTATTATTTCAATATTTTTTTCAATATTTTAGAATTTTTTTATATTATATTAGAATCAAATAAGTCATATTGTAGAATTAACTAGGTTAGAGGTATTAAGGGTACAAAATTAATGTTTACTATTATTGAAGGAAGTTTTAATTTTCACTCCTATTTGTGCAATTATGTTTATGTTACTCTTATATTCGGCAATTTCTCTAGCTATTTCATAAAGCTGCCTGTTTTAAATAGCCATGTTTGACAAAACTAACTGTTACAAGTAGCTAAAATTATAAAATTACAATTAAGGACAATGATAAAATATTATTAATTAATGAAAAAATAGAGTACATGCACATAGCTAATTTCAACATAAAGGAAAATAAAAACATGCAAGATATTTTTTTATCTTAATTAAAATATTCGTGTTTTTAGACCCTTGGCCTGTTTATAAAATAACGTTAATAAAAGTAAAGCAAAAATAAAAACCAAAGCACAAAATTACACTAAAAAGTTACATTAAAAAATAAAAGCCAAAGTAAAGAAAACCGAGTAGAACCACTAAAAAGTTACCGCAAAAACTGAAGAAAAAAGTAGAACATGAATACACAAAAAACTATGAAAAAATCAAAGCAATAAATAAAGCAAAATAAAAGCCAAAGCAATAAGAAATACTACGTACAACAAGAAACCGCTACTGTATTGAACCAAAGACCAAGAAATATATTGCAATTCGTAAAAACAGAGATCAAAAAATTAAGATCGAATCTAACACAAATTTTGAGTACACTTTT